CTGATTTGCTCCCCAAATGCCTACAACAGCCAGGGCTGGTCAAGACCAAAGCCAGGAATGAGGAACTCCATCCGGGTCGCCCCTGCAGGTGGCATGGACTTAAGTACTCAAGCATTCATCTTCTGCTTTCCAGGATGCACCTTAGCAGATCTGATGATTTATTTCTCAAATGCCCTCAGCAGCCAGGGCTGACCTAGCCCAACACCAGAATCCCGGAACTCAATCCGGGTCCCCCAGGTGGGTTGCAGGGACCCCACTCAATCACGTGAACTATCATCCGCTGGGTTCCAGGGTCTGAGCTACCAAGAAGCTGCGAGCTAGGACTTGAACCCAGGCACTGCAGGAAGCAGGGCTTTCAAAGACATCCAGCTCTTGGGCATTTTTTGCAATGTGGGCAGGGTCCCAAGGTTTTTGGCTGCTAAGAGTAGTTAGGGCTTGACCCAGGCACCCATACAGTATGCGGCAGTCTGTGCGGGGCTTGGCAGTCTCTCCCAGTGCCTACCCCGGGGTACGTTTTTGAAACAGCTGATGAACCCATATTACACCTCACTGCCACCCCACATCTGCAGTACACATCAGTGTTGTGCCCTGTATGGGTTTGGACACATGCATCATAACTGGTGTCCATCATTGGGGTATCATGCAGAGCAGTTTCAATGCTTTGACAAATCCCCCACACTCCGCCTACATTCCCTTCCCTTCGCTCTAATCCCCAGCCCCGTGGCTCCTCCTGCTGCATCTGTAGCTTTGCTTTCTCGGAATGTAAGGCACTTGCTTCGCACAGCATGTAGCCTGTTCCCTTCTTTCACTGAATAATATGCATGTAAGCTTCCCTCGCGTCTTTTCATGGCTTGATAGCTCATTTCTTTTTAGCCCCGAATCACATTACTTTATATGGATGTACCACACAGTTCACCAGAGAGTTTGATTTTTTAAAAAAGGTCTATTTTTATTTATTTCCAAGGTGAAGGAGGGAGATATCTTCCATCCATTGGTTTACTTTCCAAATGCCTTCAGCAGCTGGAGCTAGCTGTTTAGGCCAATGCCAGGAACTCGTCGAGTTTCCCCCATGGGTGTCAGGGACCCAAGCACCCGAGCCATCTGCCACGCCTTCCAGTGTGGTTCCTCACTGGAGGAAATGGAGGCAGGACTTGAATCCCGGCAGTCTGATATGGAAGGTAGGTACCCCAAACTAGAGCGTAATCCACTGGCCTGCCCCAAGAGTTTAAGTATGATATTATTGAAATTAAAATCTCCTAAAGGGGCCTGGCACAGCGGCTCAGTGGCTAAATCCTTGCCTTACACACAACAGGATCCCTTTTGAGCACCGGGGTCCTGTCCCAACAGCTCCCTGCTTGTGACCTGGGAGAGTAGTTGGGACCCTGGCCAAAAACCTTGGGACCCTGCACCTGTGAGGGATACCCAGAAGAGACTGCTGGCTTCTGACCTCGAATCGGCTGAGTTCTGGTCATTGTGGCTTCTTGGGGAGTGAACCACTGGGTAGAAGATTTTTGGCTCCTCTCTGTAAATCTGCCTTTCCAATAAAAATATTTTTAAAATCTTTTAAAAAAAAATGTTCTGAAGGACTCCTCCAGGTATAGGAAAGCTTTGGAACTTCTTGCAGCCTATGGAGTGGCTGGGTAAACCCATGGGTGTCAAAATCTCAATGTTCGTATAGAAGAATCTAGAATGCAGATGGTAGTGTTCATTAAAATTCCTCTCCGTTCCTCCCAGGCTACTCAGATAGACTTAATTTCCCAGGTCCTCTTAGCAAGGAGTGACCATGTGGTTGAAATCTGGTCAATGGCATGTGAGTCAGGGTGGCCAAAATGGTTCACAGATAAATTAGGGCTCACGTTGTGGTTCAGAAGGTTAAAGCACCAACTATGATACCAGTATCCCCTAAGGACACCATGTCCTAGCTGCTCCCACATGTTCTAGCTGCTCCATTTCCCATCCAGATTCCTGCTAATGCATCTGGATGAATAAAAGATGACCCAAAATGCTTGGGTCCCTGTACCCAGGCGGGAGACCTGGAAGAAGCTCCTGGATCCTGGTTTGGGTCTGGCCTTGCAGCCATCTGGGGAGTGAACCAGTGGATGGAATATTGCTCTGTGTGTGTGTGTGTGTGTAAACTTGACTTTCAAATAAATAAATACATCTTTCCCCAAAAGTAGAAGAGTGTGGAGGCACAGAGCAGAGATTGCCCGTGGGGCCCTGAATGGCCACATAGAATGCTTTCCTGGTCAGAAACATCCACTGAAAAGTTGGTGTCCTTTGTTATAGCCGCCAGCAATAGTTCCCCTGGATGATCCAGCACCCAATTACCCAACAGGAGGTAGTGCCAGAAAGTGCTGGAGAGGCTGCTAGTAGCTGGCATAGCCAGAAAAGACTTCTTCCTGTTGGCAGCTGGTCCTGTGGGGTCAGGGTCGGGATGTGGGGGCAGATCCTGAAGGTTGGTGTGGATAGCGCGGGGTTCCTGCAGGGGGGAGTCAGGGAGGACCAGCATTCGTGGGTGCCGTCAATGATCCTGGAGAACTTTCTGGTTCTTTCCTTAGCAGCTCTCCTGGCCTTAATGCGAAGGGGTGTACGCGCTCAGCCAACCTGTCCCCGGGAGATGCATGCAATGCCTTCTCTCTAACAAGCCCCGTGAGAGTGCTATGTCCTCGGGATCCACTTTGAGGAGAATTCCTTGCTGTGTAGTAAGCAGCTTCATCATTTTTTCCTTGGAGCTCCCAGATGTCTGGACCAGATTTCACTTGTAGTCGTGAGCTCCAAGCCTCCTATTACAGCTGCCTGGTCGTTTTCCAGCCCTCCTGGGGTGGGGCTTGGGTGGGGTACACATTCCTCTTTGCTCTGAGAAACCAGCAAACAACTCTCCTCCCCTGAGGCTGGAATGCTGCAGAAAGGAGAACTGGCTAACTATTGACCAGGCTGGCAGACACAGGGAAAAAATAGGCTTGCAGGTTAATCCAGGGAAAAATTGGAGACCCTGCCTGAAGATTTTACTGCAGAATTTTGTTGCCCTTCTCAGCACCTAGAGGCAACCTAAGGAGTTTTCTCTGGTCAAAAATAAAATGTCCCCTCCCCCTGCATAATAGTGTAATGGTTAAGATCCTCGCCTTGAACATGCCAGGATCCCATACGGGAACCAATTCTAATCCTAGCCGCTCCACTTCCCATTCAGCTCCCTGCCTGTGGCCTGGGAAAGCAGTCAAGGATGGCCCAAAGCCTTGGGACCCTGCACCCACGTGGGAGACCTGAAAGAAGTTCCTGACTCCTGGCTTGGATCGGCACAGCACTGGCTGTTGTGGTCACTTGGGGAGTGAATCATCGGATGGAAGATCTTCCTCTCTGTCTCTCTTCCCTGTACATCTGCCTTTCCAATAAAAAAAAAAAAAATGGAAGGGGACTTCAAAAATTTCACAGAAAGCAAAATTAAAAGATTATTTTCTGCAAAAGTTTTGAAACTCATGCATGTGAGGGGCCTTCAAAGGTATGTGGACAGTCCAGTCCAATTACTCTGTTGGTTAATCCTTCCCCTTCAAGCGCCTGGACCATGTATGGGTACCAGTTCCTGTCCCAGCTGCTCTGCTTTCCGTCTAGCTCCCTGCTTGTGGCCTGGGAAAGCAGTAAGGACAACCCAAAGCCTTGGGACCCTGCATTCACGTGGGGAACCCGGAGGAAGTTCTTGGCTCCTGGCTTCAGATTGGCTCAGTTTTGGCCATTTCAGCCATCTGGGGAGCGAACCAATGGTTGCAAGGTTTTTCTCTCTGTTTCCCCCTCACTCTGTAAACCTGCCCTTCCAATAAAGAATAAATTAAAATTTTTAAATAAAAAGTATGTGAAAAATGCGTGCTTTAAAAAAAAGCATGCATGAATTAATGTTTAACATTTGCACCCAAATACATTTATTTACTTTTCATTCCATTTTCTGTGGGTTTTTAGATGTTTCTTCACATACTGCAGTGACGCTGTATGAGCAGGTGAACGTGCCCTGCGGGGTGTGCACTGGACCGGTGCTTAGGACAAGCTGGACCATGCAGCTTGAGGCCTGGCCTCTCCACTTCCCATCCAGCTTCCTGCAAATGCACAGGAGGCTGTGGATGACAACTCAAGTCCTTGGGTCCCTGCCACCCATGGGTGGGATCAGATTGAGCTCTGGGCTCCTGGTTTGAGCCCAGCCCAGTTCTAGATGTTGTGGGCATTTGGGGAATGAAACGCTTGCTTCCTCTCTCTCTCTCTCTCTCTCTCTCTCTCTCTCTCTCTCTCTCTCTCTCCAAAAGAGATAGCCATTTAGTTGTTATCATGCAAGTACTGTCCAATGAAATGCAATCTGTGCTGCTGACCTTCCAGGGTCATAATGTCCTCCTACAAAGATTTATTTATTTTATTGGAAAGGCAGATGTACAGAAAGGAGGAGAGACAGAGAGGAATCTCTGCCCGACGATTCACTCCCCAAGTGACCACAACAGCCAGTGCTGTGCTGATCCGAAGCCAGGGACTTCTTTCTGGGTCTCCCACACAGGTGCAGGGTCCCAAGGCTTTGGGCCATCCTTGACTGCTTTCCCAAGCCACAGGCAGGGAGCTGGATGGGAAGTGGAGTGGCCAGGATCAGAACTGGTTCCCATATGGGATCCTGGCGTGTTCAAGGTGAGGATCTTAACCATTACACTATCACACCGGACTCTCTCTCCTTTTAAATGAATAAAATAAATATCTGTTAAAGTACAAGCAAAGCAACTCCACCTGCTTGCCAAGGTCCCTAAAGGAGAAGCAAGAATGGGATTTGTGATTGGTGAAGAAGAAAGACTAAGTAAGTGCACTTGCTGGGGGTGGGGGTTTGACCTGAACTAGAGTGATGACCTCAACACAGTCCGAGCCTGTTGGGGAGACACTTGCTGGCACTCATCTTGGTGTGGTGGCCGGCTACTTGGAATGGTCCGGTTGTAGGCCTGGCTGTGAGGAGATTGCACTGAAGCGTGATCCTTCTCTTCCAGTGTCCTCAGTGGCTGAGATTGAGGCTTTGCTGGCAGAAGACAAGGTCCAGGGGATGCCTTCCTCCTGTGGGTAATGAGGGGAAGACAGCTGCTTTCTGGGTGTGTTTCCTGCAGTATCCTACCCACTTCACCCACATCCAACACGGGAGGAAAGGACAGCAGAGCGTGGCCAGCGGGAGGCAAGGCTGCCTGGTAACCTTCTCAGAAGCCGGCCTCAGCATATTGCCATGCTCTAAAAAGCACCACCTGGATATCCTGAAGGATAGGGAAGCTACCGAAGTCTTTACAGAAGTTTCTAGAAGAAACCCATGACGAAGGAAGAACATTGCACAGTGCCCTGAGAGATTTCAGATTCTCCTCACTCCGTGGCTTCCCCAAAATCCTGTTGGCCACAGCAACTGCTCCTCAAGTGACCCCCTTCCAAATGTGTTCAGAACATCCCTGTTTTGTTTGCAAGCTGCTCCCCAACCCAAGGATGCAGACCTAGCCAACCTTCTCCATGCTCTTTACCCTAGAGCCCCAGGAACCAGCAGACAGCTTTACTGGCAGAAGGCTGGAAGACACAAGATGGTGAGGAGGGGTATAGCATGCGGCTGGCATGGAGGTCCCACAGGTAAAGCCATCATCCCATATCAGAGCACCAGCTCAAGTCCCAGCTGCTCCACTTCCAATGTGTCTCCCTGCTAATGCGCTGGGAAAGCCTTTAACGATGACCCGGGTACTTGGGCCTCTGACACCCATGTGGGAAACCCGGTGGGGTTCCCTGGCTCTTTCCTGCTTTGGCCTGACTAAGGCCCACTTAAAAACAGTTTCTGTAATATCTTCATCTTTTTTTTTTAAAGACTTATTTGCTTTTATTGGAAAGGCAGATTTACAGAAAGAAGGAGAGACAGAGAAAGATCTTCCATCCACCGTTTCAGTCTCCAGATGGCTGCAATGGCTGGCGTTGAGCCCCTCTGCAGCCAGGAGCCTGCACTTTCCTCCAGGGTTAAGCCATCCTCTACTGCTTTCCTGGGCCACAAACAGAAAGCTGGATGGGAAGTGGGCAGCTGGGACACAAACTGGCATCCATAGGGGATCTCAGCACTTGCAGGTGGAGGATTAGACAGTTAAGCCATCCCATTAGCCCCAGTATGTCCATCTTTAGGTCCCTGAAACCTGCCTTGGGTAGATGGGAATTTGGTTCATGAATAGTGAGCTTGTACTCTGTGAGTCAGGTGCGTCTTCAGACTACTGACTCACTTAATTCTCATGGTAACCCCATGATGTCAGTTCTGGTATCATCACCTCCATTCTTCTCAGATGAGAAAGTGAGGCACACCGACATTGGATAACTTATTGAAGGTTACAAAGTGAGGCCTGTTCCGGAGCCTGAGACAGCCCCGGCAGGAGCCACACCTACAGGGGTTGTGCGATGAACTCACGCCAACAGAGATCAGCCACACTCTTTCCAGGGAAAGCTTGTCAGTGTGCGCCAAGACAAACACATCTATAAAGACGTGGAGACAGGAAGATAGTAGGTTAAGCCCCCGCTGGGATATTGGCATCCCATATGGGCATCAGTTCATGTCCACTTGTGCTCCTTGCCAATGTGCCTGGGAAAGCAGCGAAAGATGGTCCAAGTCCTTGGGCCCTCGTGCCTACATGGCAGACCCAGAACAAACTCCTGGTTCCTGACTTCAGACCAGCCCAGTGCTATTGCAGCCATTTGGGGAGTGGAACAGCAGACGGACGATCTCTCTGTCATTCTCTCTCTCCCTCTCCCTCTCTTTCTCTAACTCAAAAGGTAAAAAGACAGGGGGGAAGTCCTGAAAACCACCATTGTTACCATGGCAGGGAGAGAGGAAGTGGTGATGGCGCTGAGAGTGATTGCTTTAGGGGCAGGTGAGATTTGTCAGAAAGCAACACGCACAAAGAACACCTAAACCAGTGTGCTCACGTTAACTTCAGGACAGAACCCTGCAGAGCAAGTGTTCGGCCCCCTTGGGACATGCCCTACCACCATCAGGGCTCCTGGTTCCGATTCCAGATTCCAGCTTCTCTGTTTGGATCCCAGGGGTTAATCGCTCCAGTGTCTGGGTTCCTGTCACCCATCTTAGAGACCCAGATGGGGTTCCGGTCTTCTGGTTTTGCCCTCTCCAGTCCCAGCTGTTGCAGGCGTTTGGGGAGTGGGAAGTATGGGAATTCTTTATGCCAAATAAATAAAATCTAAAACCAACAACAAAAAACCCAGACATGCAATTGGCATTAAGCCATTCTAATGGCTTCTCCAAGGGGAATCAGGAAGTGATGCTCTTGCAACGGCAGGTGGAATGGGCTCCTCTCCAGCTGGGTTTTGCTATTGTTGGAATTTTTGTTTGCTACGCACACAGACACATTCCAATAGGCTCATGTGGCCAAGAGGTAACAAATAATTGGCTCTTACAGCATTCTTCTCAGCTTATAAATTATTCTGAACATCTCCAAGCCCACCTCATGCTAACATTGAGTATAATCTTATCTAGATAGTAACTAAGGTGACATTTAAGAAATCACCAAGAGATGGGGTTTATGCTGTGGCCTAGCAAGTTAAGCTACCACCTGCAGAGCCAGCATTCCCTGTGGGAGCTAGGTCAAGTCCCAGCTGCTCCACTTCCCATCCAGCTCCCTGCTAATGTGCCTGGGAAAGCAGCAGGAAGGTGGCCCTACTGCTTGGGCCCCTATCCCCACATTGGAGACCCAAATAAAGCTCCTGGCTTCTGGCTTCAGCCTGGTTCAGCCATAGCTTTCCCAGGCCACAAGCAGGGAGCTGGAAGGGAAGCGGGGCTGCCAGGACTAGAACCGGCACCCATATGGGATCCCGGGCGTGCAAGGCAAGGACCTTAACCACTGCGCCACTGCGCCGGGCCCTATTATTATTTTTTTAAAGATTTATTTTATGGACTAGGCACAGTAGCCTAGCAGCTGAAGTCCTTGCCTTATACATGCTGGGATCCCATATGGACCCCGGTTCTAATCCCGGCAGCCCCACTTCCCACTCAGATCATTTACTTGAGACAGAGTTACAGAGAGAGAAAGAGAGCTGACCTGAAGCCAGAAGTCTGGAGCTTCTTCTGTAATGAACTGCTGCTCATATGGGATCCTGATGCTTGACATAGGATGATTAGCTAGTTGAGTTGTCATGCCAGACCCTAAAAATAATTTTAAAGGAAGGAAAAATTTGGGTTGGATGCTTAACTGGCTAATCCTCCTCTTCAAACACCAGGATCCCTTATGAGCACCGGTTTGTGTCCTGGAAGTCCCGCTTCCCATCCAGCTCCCTGCTTGTGGATAGCAGGAGAGGATGGCCCAAAGCCTTGGGACCCTGCACCTGCGTGGACCTGGCAGGACCCAGTTTTTATAACATCTCAATACTGAGATGGCTCAAAGTCCCCACGCACTTCCCAATAACAAGACAAACCATTGTCTTGAGTCTCCCAGATGCTGAGTGCGGGGTCACGGCTGGCACATGAGGAAACAGTCAGACCTCCCTGTGCGCTTCCAAATGCCAAGCACATGGGGACCAGAAGGCCTCGGGCTTGAGGGAGACTGGAGGGAGGAGAAAACTGAACTCAGGCTGCATGCTGGACCATGCATGGTGTAATCAGGACCCTCACTACAAGCTGCATGGGGTCCGTGGGCTGGGTGACATAACTGAAGCAGTCTCAATGTTCCAGTTGTCCTGGTGGTGCTGCATTAATGCAGGAATACGGTCTAGTTCTTGGGCACCATGTACTCGGATCCATGGGGGCAAGTCCATCTGCCCAGAGTGCAGGACGACAGCAGCCCGGGGGAGACGATGGACTTTGAAATCCAAAATACTGGCACAGGCATTGAAGACCAAGTCTCAGCTTCTTCATCGGCAAAATGGAGCTGATAATACACCTGCTTCAGGGGATGCTGGAGGAATTCAGTGTGGAGAGAGGAGAACGTGGCCTGGTGTCCCACCTATGTGGGAGACCTGGATGGAGTTCTTGGCTCTGGACTTCAGCCTGGCTCAGACCCAGCCACTGTGGCCATTTAGGGAACGAATGGTTGGCTTCCTAGCATCCCCACAGTGGGTAGCCATCACACAAACCTAATGCACAGCCCAGCAAGCCCACACAGGGTCTTAAAACACTCCCTGAAGACCAGTAGTACCCCTTTTGACAGCCACCTGCTGGGATGGGAGGAAGCAGAGAAATTCCAAAGATTATTGCAGTAAACAAACAAACAAACAAACAAAACCTGGAGCTGATCCAGGGAAAGGAGAAAGGAAGACACTGATGACACAGTGACAGGTCAAAGGCACAAAGTCCCGTGCCAAGGTTCATAAGTGAGATCCACACGGTGGGGAGGAAACGGCCTAGCTTTTCCAGAGAGCTGCCTGCTCCTCCGGGGAGCAGCCCCAGCCAAGATCTGTGCGCGGAGAGCCCTCTGCAGGCTCTGCACCGTCGCAGGCACTGCAGGACCCTCAGATTGCACTGTGGGCACCTCCCGAAGGGGAGGCCTGGGAAAAGGGGCCAGCTGGGCTCAAGGTGTTCCCTGGGGAGATGTGGCACTCGGCGCTCCCCAACTACTTAGGCTGCTTCAAGGTTAGCAGCCAAACCTCTGGTCTTAAAAATTCAAGCTTGTCAGGCCCAGAGCGACAGCCTAGTGGCTAAAGTCCTCACTTTGCACGCACGGGGATCACATATGGGTGTCAATTTGTGTCCTGGCAGCTCCACTTCTCATCCAACTCCCTGCTTGTGGCCTGGGAAGGCAGTCCAGGACGACTCAAGGCTTTGGGACCCTGCACCAGCATGGGAGACCCTGAGGAGGCTCCTGGCTCCAGATTGGCGCAGCACCAGCCATTGCAGCCGCTTGGGGAGTGAATCAGTGGGTGGAAGATCTTCCTCTCTGCATATCTGATTCTCCAATTAAAAAAAAAAAAGAAAAAAGAAAGAAAGAAATCAAGCTTGTCCTCTTTAAGAAAGAGAGAGAGAGAAGGTTCCATGGGGAACCTGCAGTCAGACCTAATCTATCTTCAGTCCCTGCCCTTGAGTCTTGGCACCTGCCATCTGGCCTGTCTAGAAGGCTGTCTGCCCTATCCGAGGGCGGTTCACTGCCTGTCCACCTTCTGTCTCACTTCTCCCAGAAGCCCGCAACGCCCAGCCCAAGGACCTCTCTGTTCTTGCGCTGGGGCATCCATCCTGGTCCCTGTGTAAGCCCCACCCCCTATCCGGGGCTACCCTTGGATGAGAGTTGTCCCCCTTGCTTCCGGCTTTCTTGAGGACAGGGACTGACAGAAATGGATGCTTTCCTTTGGTCGTCCCCACAGCAGCTTGTTCAGTTCCACCGAATCAGGCATATTTCAGATTACTCCAATAGAAAAAACAAATGTTGGAAGGGCTGCCAATAACTCAGCATCATTGGGGATTAACAGCCAGAGCTCCCCTCCTCCTGGGACAGCCTGAACAATGAATTGCTGCCCTAAACAATAGGGCATTCTCCAGTGAATGGTGGGAACAGCTGCGGGGAAGGGACGGCCTACAGGAGGTCTGAGTCAGGCAGGCAGGCAGGCGAGCAGGCCAGCTGGGAAACCAAGTCAGTGCTCTTGCTTCAGGAGGAGGAAGCCAGGCTAAGAGCTGCCTCATGGGAGTGGGGGAGATGGTGCTGTTGGCTGAGTGGGCCAGCCCCCAGCCCACAAGGCCAGAGCCCCCACAGAGGCTCTCTGCCCATCCAAACAGCGGGAACCCTCAGAAAGCCACCACATTGCACACACTTCCTTTTAGTTCACTGGGGTACACAGGCTGAGAGTATCTGTGTCACAAATGCTTGGATCTGATTGGCCTTTGTCCCTTAACCTTGTGCACCCCAGGGCAGGTCTCCCAGCGACAGTCTCTAAGGGGAGAATGGCCCATCCTTGGCTTTTGTACAAAAGTGCTTTAAAAAAAAAAAAAAAGAACAGCACTTTTTCGCTTTTTTTTTTTTTTTAAGATTTTATTTTATTTTTTTGGAAAAGCAGATTTACAAAGAGAAGGAGAGACAGAAAGATCTTCTGCCCCAAGTGGTCACATTAGCTGAAGCTGAATAGCCAGGAGCTCCAATGCGAAGGCAGGAGCCAGGAGTCTCTTCTGGGTCTCCCACGCGGGTGCAGGGTCCCAAGGCTTTGGGCCGTCCTCAACTGCTTTCCCAGGCCACAGGCAGGGAGCTGGATGGGAAGTGGAGCTGCCGGGATTAGAACCGGTGCCCATATGGGATCCAGAGCATGCAAGGCAAGGACTTTAACCACTAGGCTACCGCGCCGGGCAGCCCTTTTTTATAAGCGTTTGTGTAACGCTTTCTTTCTCTGCTGAGCTGTGGCTTCTGCGAGGCTGAGGAGACAAGCATTTTGCTTTTGGCTTCTAGTATGCAGTACAGTGTGTGTGTATGTGTGTCTGCATGTGTTGGGGAAGTTGTCAATGAATAGTTTAAAAATTATTTAATATATTTTTGGAAGATAGATGTAAAGAGGTCTGTTATCGACTGTTTCACTTTCCAAATGCCTGTTACAGTCGGGGCTGGCCCACAGGCCCAGGAGTTCAACGCAGGCTCCCCCCATGGATGGCAGGAGGCCCAATTAATTATTCAAGCCTTCCTGCCACTCCCTAGGATGTGCATGAGCCGGAAGCTAGAGGCCTGGGCAGACTGAGGACTCAGGCACTCTGATCTGAATGCCGGTGTCCGTCCCAGTGGGTGACTCAGCTACTGCACTCAACACCAGAGTGGGAAGACACGCAACAGCTCCTCGCAAAGGTAAACACTCCTCTGCCGCCAAGAGGACTCACTCTGCTACTAAAAAATATACACATGAATATTCATGGCAGCATGGCTCATCAACAGTCCCAAAGTGGAAACAGCTAACCTCCATCAATTTAGAAACAGGTCGATAAAACGCGGTGTAATGTCGCAAGGAGGAATATTCCACAACAACAGGAACGAAGCCCAGGTACACGCTACAACTCAGACAAACCCGGAGAACATCGTGCCGAGTGGAGCAAGCCCCGTTTCACTCCGCATGCGCAGACAGAAGGTGCCCGAGCAGGTGTCACTTGGCGAAGAGCTCCTGGGAGGGCGGCTTCGGTTTAGTTGTGGCTTTTAGCAACGGGGCGTAGCTTTGGATGCAGAGTGGCGATGACGGTCACACAGCAGAGCGGACATTCTCAAGACACGGAACTGCAAACTTGGGCGTGGTGAATTCGGACCCCGTGTTTGTCACAGGTAAGTCATCACCTGGCTGTTTACAGAGGCTCACACGTTTTTAAAGCAATCTTTTAAAAACTGAGATTAGCTTACACAGCAGAAAATTCACCTTTACAGAGCTTAGTGATTAAGCTATTTTTATTTGAGGGGTGACAAGAAAGATTACTAATAACTATAGAGTGTTTTAAAGTCTGTATTTGATAAATTATTTTCTCTTTTTTAAAAAAAATTATTTATTTTTATTAGAAAGTCAGATCAGATTTACAGAGAGAAGGAGAGACAGAGAGAAAAATCTTCCATCTGCTGGTTTGCTCCCGGAGTGGCTTTGACAGCCAGAGCTGAGCTGATCCGAACCCAGGAGCTAGGAACTTCCTCCAGGTCTCCCATGCAGGTGCAGGGTCCCAAGGCTTTGGGCCGTCCTGGACTGCTTTCCCAGGCCACAAGCAGGGAGTTGGAAGGGAGGTGGAGCAGCCAGGACACAACCCGGTGCCCACATGGGACCCTAGTGTTGGAAGGGGAAAGATTAGCCAACTGAGCCAGGCCCCAAATTACTAGTTTAACTACACACACACACACACACACAAAGTCAATATAATTATGCTTTCACTAGATAATTTCAGGACACTTGAGTATCTTGAAAATGAAAGTTCAAGGGCCCATCACAGTAGCTTAGTGGCTGAAGTCCTTGCCTTAAACATGCTGGGCTCCATATGGGCACTGGTTCTAATCCTGGCAGCCCTGCTTCCCATGTAGCTCCCTGCTTGTGGGTTGGGAAATCAGTGGAGGGCGGCCCAAAGCCTTGGGACCCTGCACCTGCATGGGAGACCTGGAGGAAACTCCTGGCTCTTGGCTCCGCATTGGCTCAGCTCCAGCTGTTGTGGCCACTTGGGGAATGCATCATCAGGTGGAAGATCTTCCTCTCTGTCTTTCCTCCTCTGTATATCTGACTTTCCAACACAAATAAAATAAATCTTAAGATTAAAAAAAATGAAGGTTCAAGGAAAACGGCCTTGGAAGTGGGCACTTAGCCCAGCACTTGGTGTCCAGCTCCTGACTGCGGCTTTCTGTGGCAGACAGTCGGGCTGGCTCAGGTGATGGAGTGTCTGACCCCTGCGTGGCCTAGACTGAGTTCCAGGCTCCTGGCTTCAACCTGGCTCAGCTCCAGGTCCTGTGGGTATCTGGGGAATTGAGGATCAGGTGGGATCTATCCTGTCTTTAAAATAATTTTTTAAGGGTTCACGTGTTGTGGTGCGGGGGCGGGGGGGGGGGGAAGCCACAGCTTGGGCTGCCTGCAGCCCATCCGGGAGAGCCTCAGGAGAATTCTCACCTCTGCTTGCAATCCACCTGCCTGCTGGTGTGCTCCCTGGGAGCAGCAGGTAATGGCTCAAGTGCTTGGCTTCCCACCACTCACGTGGGAGGACGTGGGTGGAGTTTCAGTCTCATGGCTTTGGCCTAGGCTTTGTTCCCTGCCACTGTGGACATTTGGGGGGTGAACCAGAAAGATGGAAGATCTTCCTCTGTGTCTCTATTGCTCTGTCTTTCAAGTGAAGACAAATAAATAAAAATTATTCTTAAAAAGTTTTGTAAAGTAGGGTCCGACACAGTAGCCTAGCGGCTAAAGTCCTTGCCTTGCATGCACTGGGTGCCAGTTCGTGTCCCGGTTACTCCACTTCCCTTCCAGCTCCTTGCTGGTGGCCTAGGAAAGCAGTGGAGCATGGCCCAAAGCCTTAGGACCCTACACCCATGTGGGAGACCCAGAGGAAGCTTCTGCCTCCTGGCTTTGGGTTAGCTCAGCTCTGGCCGTTGCAGCCACTTGGAGAGTGAATCGGCAGACAGAAGATCTTTTTGTCTCTCCTCTCTGTAAATCTGACTTTCCAATATAAAAGAAATCTTTTTTTTTTTAAGTTTTTGTAAAGTTAAGAAAAACAAATTGAAATAAAAAGTTTACTTTGGTGAGAAAAAATTTTGAAACATCTTCAAGATGTTCATCGGGAATACATATTATGATTGGAAACTTTTTTTGCCCAAAATATTTTTATTTTTTCATTCCATTTTCCGTGAACTCGTTGATGCACCTGCCAGTAGTATTTTCTAGCCGGTTACAGACGGTGATGGCGCACGGCTTTGGAGTTGCTTTCTTTGCCTTTTTTCTTCTCTGTCACCTGGAGATTCTGTTGGACAAGCCGGAGCATTGGGCCTTTTGCCAGTTGGGAGGCCGGAGCCAGGGCCCCTGGACACCCCGCGCTCAGCCCTTCCACGGGCCCCGCTCACCAGCGCCAGCAGCTGTGTAGCCCGCTGGCCTTGCCCATGGTGGCGTCCAATCAGAGCTGTGTTTTTGTGTTGTGGTCAGTTCCTTTTCTGCTCTCAGTAAGCCATTTGCTCCTAAGATCTTACAGTACTTCCTGATCCGTCAGTAGGTTTGCTTGCTGCTTCCCCACAGTACCTGCAAGCATCCCGTGACCAGGGCGAAAGTCATAATTCTTCATTCTCCAGTGGCGGGCGATCTGAGGGGCGAGCAGGGCCCCCTGAAGCCTCAGGGGTCTCCCTCTTGAGCTGGCTTCCCAGAATAGAGTCCTGGAGGTTACCTTGGGCCCTGAAGCCCCTGCTGACGGTGGCCACGTGGCCCAAGGATCTGTCACGGAGGACTCATCTGCAGAAGTTTGAGAAAGGAGGGTTTACCTTCTTCAGAAACCTCTTCAGGGGTCTGGTGTGATGGCAAAATGGTTAAATTCTCACCTTGCAAGCACCAAGGATCCCAAATGGATGCCAGTTCAAAGCTCCTGGCTGTGGGCTCCTGGCTTCAGATAGGCTCAGTTCTGGCCAATGCAGCCAGCTGGGGAGTGAACCAGCACATGGAAGATCTTTCTCTCTGTCTCTCCTTCTCCCTGTAAGTTTGATGTTTTTTTTTTTTTTCCAATAAAAATAAATCAATCTTGGATCCGACATGGTGGCCTAGTGGCTAAAGTCCTTGCCTTGCACGCGCTGGGATTCCACATGGGCACCAGTTATCCCGGTGACCCCAATTCCCTTCCAGCTCCCCGCCTGTGGCTTGGGAAAGGCAGTCGAGGTCGGACCAAACCCTTAAGACTCTGCACCTGCGTGGGAGACCTGGAAGAAGCTCCTGGTTCCTGGCTTTGGATTGGCTCAGCTCCAGCGGTTGAGACCACTTGGGGAGTGAATCAGTGGATGGAAGATCTTCTCTGTCGCTTCTCCTCTCTGTATACCTGACTTTTCAGTAAAAATAAATAAATATTTTTTAAAAAGATAAGTGGCTTGGACACATAGGTGATGTCCTTCAAACCCTTGTACGCCCTGGATATGTCTGCTTCTCAAAGCTAGCCAACGCCAAGTATCCATGATTCCAGGTGCGTGTTTAGAATGAGAGCTCCAATACGTTGGCCCAGATAATCCCCAGCCTTTGAAGATATCCCTTTTGTGAAATGTAAGGTTGTTTTAGTTTTCGATTTTTATTATTATTTTTTTAAGGGCTGGTTCTGTTAGGATTTTGAGCGTTTGATTTTCAACTTGCTCTCCGCGGTGCAGGCTGTGTCCTCCAGGGGGCAGAAGAGAGCCGCGCACGCATTCTCCCGGCGGAGTCTTCAGACTCCCGGACTTGATAAACACAGAGTGGGGGCCAGAAAGGAAGTAGGTCTTCCACATGCGTTCTCCTAGGCTGAAATGTGAGCTAGAATCCTTTGAGAGACAAAATCCTGGCTGCAATTCAAACAGATCCAAGTTCAAATCCAGAGTCCAACAGGATTTGAAGAACACTGCCTCTCGGTGACCCCAGCAAGTCATTTAAATTCGTCAAGCCTTGGTTTCTTGATCTACAAAGTTGGAATAATATCATCAGTATGGCAGGATTGTTGAGGGCCTTATGCTGCACCTAATAATAATAATAATAATAATAATAATACTAGCAGCAGCTCTTGGGTCAAATAGGCTGCCAACCAGGACACCTGGGTCCTACACTGGAGCTCCAGTTCAAGTACTAGTCCAAGTCCTGCCTGCTACACTTCCTTTTATTTTTTTTTTAAAGATTTATTTACTGTTACTAGAAAGTCAAATATACAGAGAGAAGGAGAGACAGAGAGGAAGATCTTCCGTCTGATGGTTCACTCCCCAAGCAGCTGCATCATTTGGAGCCCAGCTGATCTGAAGCCAGGAGCCAGAAGCCTCTTCCAGATCTCCCACACGGGTGTAGAGTCCCGAGGCTTTGGGCCATGCTCCACTGCTTTCCTAGGTCACAAGAAGGGAGCTGGATGGGAATTGGAGTGGCCAGGATTAGAACCGGCACCCATATGGGATCGCAACATGTGCAAGGTGAGGACTTTAGCCACTAGGCTACCGCACTGGGCCCCCACTATACTCTCAATCCAGCATTCCTATTAACACATCCTGGAGTCAGTGTCCAGTGGCTCACGTGCTGAGGTCCATACCATCTCCCTGCGTGTGAAGCCGGGATTCAGTTCCTGACTCCTGGCTACAGCCTGTCCCCAGCACTAGCTATCGTAGGCATTTGGGAAGTGAGCTAATGAATGAAGCATTTCTCAGCTTTTCAAGTACATGTAAACTTAAAAAAAAAAAAAAAAAAAAAAAAAAAAACCTTGCTCTTTTAGAAAATGCTTTGTAGATGTTTGCAAGGAAAGAATCTCAACTGAATTTGAACTGTGGCAGTGCAACAAGAATCCACCATGGGGGTGGGGCGGGTTTTGGGGAAGGGAGGGGGGAATCCCAGTGCCTATAAAACTGTGTCACATAATGCAATGTAATCAATAAAAAGAAAGAAAGAAAGAAAGAAAATGTATTTATGGCCTGGCGTGGTAGCCTAGCGGCTAAAGTCCTCACCTTGTAAGCACCAGGATCCCATATGGGCGCCGGTTCTAGTCCCGGCAGCCCTGCTTCCCATCCAGCTCCCTGCATCTCGCCTGGGAAAGCAGTCAAGGATGATCAAGGCCTTGGGACACTGTCCTGTTGTGAGAGACCTGGAAGAGGCTCCTGGCTCCTGGCTTCGGATTGGCTCAGCTCCAGCTGTTGCGGAAAAGCTGCCTCCATCTCTCCCATTGCTCTCCATCCAGGTCTGTGATGACCCAGTCCGATGGGAACGTGGGCCGTGCTTCCTTCAGTAGCTGGCCTGGACTCTCTCCTGAGGCTTCCAGACTCTGCCCTAGAGTGACATTTCACATCCTAGAAATCAATAAAACCAATAACATGAATAACACCGAGGCCATAAAGGATAGGAAGAAACATGAAATGTGTTGATTTTCTTCATGAAATCAAGCCTGTACCCTCCAAGGTTGCCCGGACTGATGGGAGAATCGTCACGTGGGGAGGACGGCAGGATCTCTGGCCTGTGACGTCCTCAAGCGTCACCTCCTGGGGGTGGGGAGGAGAAGGAAGCTTGATGCCGTAGCATAACAGGCTAAGCCTCTACCTGTGGCACCAGCATCCCACTTGGGTCTCTTCTTGACACACCAAACTCCCTTGCCAGGGTGACAAAAGGAAGGCTTTATTCCCCTGGGGGCACACAGTGAAGCAGGCCTTTGTCTCCTCCTGCTGACAGCTTGCAAACGTGTGGCACAGGTGGCAGCGGACACCCTGGAAGTGTCTCTCTCCGAGAAGCCAGACACAGCGAGCCCTGCCCCCAGCACGGCCCTGCCTGTCCGCCCTCCTCACCTGCTTACGCCTTTCCCACCGCGAAGGCAACAATCAACGGGCGAGTAAGGACAGGGCTCTGGCCCCAGCCTCTGCCAATCTGTCGCCACCCGTCGCCGGGAGCCCAAGAGGAAATTGCAGTGCTGCGGTTTCTTGCTGCTTCCTCACTATGACAGAAAACACTGCAGCCGGCGACCAGCCGCCACCAGTTCCCCCCTCTCGCCCCCCGCCCCCCCAGGTGCCGCAGGGGGCTGGCTGGCAGGGCATGCCTGTGGCATGGCATGCCTGTGGCAGGTAGCATCAGGAGGTGGTCGCAGGGGACTTCAGGACAGAGCATCACCACGGGGTCAGGGCTAAGCTCATGCAGAAGAGGAGGCTTGCTCAGAGCTCCCCTCCCAGGTGCCAGGCCACTGGTAGGGCTCAGAGAGCGGGGCGGGGTAGAGCGCGGAAGGGCCTGAAAAGAGGGTTTCTTTTTTTGTCCTCAGAAGGGAAAAGAGATGCAGACAGAAGACAAGCGAGCAGTACAGAGAAACAGCAGCATTTGGCCGTCGACCCAAAACCGGTGTTGCCGTGCGGTGGCTTGAGTTTGCAATGCTGCCATTCCGTGTGGCCAGCAGTTCAAGTCCTGGCTGCTCCCCTTCCAGTCCAGCACCCTGCTAATGTGCCTGGCAGGGCTCTTCAGTTTGGCCAGGCCCAACTCTGGTTGTTGAAGCCATTGGGTGAGTGAATCAGTGGATGGAGTGACTGAAGCCTCTTTTGGGTAAACACACAAATCCATGTGTATGTCCCCTCCTGCCAGCCTCCCTCCCCAACCCTGGGATGGCCTGGGTGGTGGCCCCTGTGCTGTCCTCTGGTCCTCGCTGGCCTGAGTGGTGACATCCTTCATCTACCTGTCTGGAGGCATCCATAGGTACAGTTTAGGTGAACAGGCACCTGGCTAGTGGGTCCTGTCTTAGCTCTGCTGGTCTGTTGCCCTGGCATGAACCTGGGAATGGTCCCCAGGCTCTCACCTCCCTCCCTAGCAGGAGTGGGACGCCCATCCATAGGGCCCTGCAACATCACTTGGTCTGGCCCTGCCAGGACAACCACAGGCAGGCAGGACTGGAGATTTAAGAAGGCACTGGCAAGCTCTTTTTTTTTTTTTTCATTTTTAAAATTTTATTTTTTAATATTGTACACATAATGAAGAGAGTTGCATGCCCCATCAGGGTGGGGAGTTATTTTTCTCCTGTGTGCACTGTGGGGTCACTGCTTGCTGCCAAACGACATTGGTGCCCGGGGGACAGTCTGTTGCTGGTGCTTTAGAAACCCTCATTGTGGGGAAGAGTGTCTCACAGGTGTTACTTGAGTGGTTTTAATAGTTCTGAGTTGTCGTCAGCTTTGCTGCATCAGGGTTGAGAAAAATCTTTGCAAGATCTATGGCTGACCAAGGGCACCTCAGTGTGCATCCACAGACCCAGACACTAGCTGCAAAGCTTGGCCAGGAGAGTGGTCCAACCTGTTCTGCTTTCCATCCTCTGACGAGCCACTTGACATCCTCTGCTGGCCTGGATGAGCTGGCTGTCATGTCTCCCGCGTGCATCTGGGCATGCTACCCACCAGCAGGCTGATTTTGAAGGTGGTAATTTTGTGGGACTCTCACAATGTGATAAATATCCAAACGACCCTTTCATGGAAAACAGGTTCCCCACCCCCCTTCTAAGGGCTGTTGGATTTCTCTGAGCCACACTCAAATGCAGGGGCCCCAGGGCAGGAAGCGGTCCTGTTCCCAGGTTAAAGTCACTGTGCACTTGCCTCACCTGGTGTGGCCACTACCAGTGGACACAGGATCCTGCTGCCAGGGGCCGCTGCAGGCCTCCAGCCAAGCAGTGAGGCACAAAAGCCAGGCGGCACCTTGGGACTGCTGTCTGCACCATGCCGCAGCCTGACACCACCAGCCCCCGTGGCTACCAGGCTTCCTCTTCAGACCCCTCCTCCCTACCCTGACCTGCTGGTTTTCTGTACGTGAGAGCCACCTTTCCCTGTCCCCAGGGTGGCGAGCCCCATGGCACAACGGCCAGGCAGAGCAGCGACTACCATTGCAAGTCTCTGTCTCCGGTAGGTTTTGGAGGACCAGGTAGTCTCCTTTCTGAAGGAGTGTGTTTGCTGGCCTGTGAGGGGGCTGCCCTGGAAACAGGCACGTTTTGGCCGGGGAGTCCAGCACATCACTAAGACATCTCATGGGACAGTTGCATCTCCTACCGAGGGCCTGGGTTCAAGTTCCAGCTCCCTTCCTGAGTCCAGTGCCTGCTGATGCACACCACACAGGAGGCATCGGGAGAGGCTCCGTGCCGAGTCCCGGGCTCCTGCCTACCACGGCCAACAGGTGGACGATCTCTCTCTCTCTTTCTGTATCTTTTCCTTTCAATGA